GAGATTGTTTGGTTGTAAATTTTTCGGTGGCAATAGTTCTTTTAACTTATGATCATCATTTGCTTCGATTGATGAAAATAGTTTTACATACAACTCTTCTCTTCGATCGTACAATGTTTCCAATTTTGCCTTTTTTAATGCTTCGATGTAACTCAAGTCCGGGTGGATAATCCGTAGTGCCCGCTTCTGAATACTTTCAATTTCCATTGATAGGTAGTTAGGGAGACTCGAGTGGAAGACTTGGCAAGCATACTCAACGACAGATCTTATACACGCGGTATAAAACTTGTATAAGGATCTAGTTTCCACTTCAGCACGTTTTAATTGCCTTAATAAATAAAGTCTCTTAGAAGCCTTTTCCACGGTATTGCTTAGATGTTTGTTCCATTTCAAATTACTGGTAACTATCATGCCCAGAACTTTTGCGGATTTTACAATTTCAAATGGCTTCCCGTTTTTTCAGCCAAATTGCATTGGATCCATCTTTCTTAGTAGTTTAGATTTTAACTCATACTCGATTATGAGGTTTTCTGCAATTTTTGCCAATGTTGAAGTTAAGGCTATTGGCCTCAAGTCCTTGTTAAAATCGGTAATGTTTTTGGCTTTAGGAACAGGTGGCACATTTGCTATTTTCCATACCCTCGGCACCTTGCATTCACGGAAGGATGCGTTAAATATATCAGTAATTGCAGGATATATATCAGTAATGTCAGAAAAGCTCTTTAGAACCCAATTGAGGAGTTCATCAGGACCGCTAGCTTTGGAAGCACTGATTGCGCGTAGTAGCCGCTCCACTGTTGTTTCTGAGACGCTAATTGTTCATCATTGTCAGTCGATAGGTTAAAATCTTCAGGCAGCAGGGGGAAATCTTTCATGACACTGATAAAGGCCTCGTTAATCCTATTTCCTAAACCTTTATCACTGTCCTCAACGTCAAATCTAATCATGGATCTGAGGACTGGCCGTGTTGATTGCTGAACACTGATCTGTTTTACCTCTCGCTACCAGTCTTTATGTTTCGAATCCAGAAGGTTGCTAACTTTTTTCTTATAGTATACTTTACGACAACGTTTTCTTTCCCGACTTACTTTGTTTCGCAGCAATTTAAACATGAAATTGTTACTTAAGGCAAATGCTTTTTGTGTTTGTAAAATAAGGCGTTTCAAATGGCTAGTCATCCACGGACGATCATTTGGACTTGCTCAGTTAATTGATCTTTCTGGCATTATGGTATTTAAACCATAATTTATTACTTCTGTAAATGTTGTTAGTTTGTCATCAGAAGATCGCAGAGATGACAATATATTTTCCCACGGGATATTTAAAAGGAAACGGCCAAGGCTTGCAACATTGCTTGGTCTTTTATCCCGTACTTTTATAGTCGTTTTTGGGGTCGTAAATTGACACGTTTCGCTGGAATCATAGTGATCGTGACATGGTCAGATAAGCCAAACGGTGTACCACTTTCTGCTGGATTACAAAAGTTTTTAAGATTGGTAAAAATCTGATCAAGAGTATTAATTCGTCGAGTAGGGAAATTTATAGCAGGTTTTAAGTTAAAACGTTTCGCAGTTGATCAGTTAAAATCGAGTTGGTTAAAATCACCAGCCAGAACTATGCCACTATTTGGATAATGTGTTTCAATTATTTCCAGTGATGATTTAAGGTGTTCTTTCATTGCTGTGTTATTCGCCCCTGGAGGGTGATAAAGCACACCTGCAATAATATTTGAAAAACCTCGAGGTAAACGTTTAGGTCGTAGTATACACCACAGAACTTCATAATCCTCCTTTTGTTGTACGTACAAAGTTTTACTCTCAATAGTGTTCTTCACATATGACGGCACACACCGCCATGCTGCCTATTTTTGCGATCTAATCTAAATAGTTGATAACCAGAAATAGCAATTGGGTCATCTGCGATTGAATCTTTCAACCATGTTTCAGTAAAGAAGCCTACTTGAATATCTTTCTGTTGTATAGTAAACGCTATTTCATCAATTTTTGGGGCCAGCGACATTGAGTTCGAGAGTAATACTGTTGGAACAAATTGAGAATTATCGTTGGGTTTCACTTGACTTTTATTCGTATTTGTTGTATGTTTGGTGAGTGGAACAGTTATTAAATTTCTAAATGTGCGTAGGGGGAGGTCGCGTGACTCAATAAACGGGGGGTCGTAGGTGGAGGGGGTAGGTTGGTTGATGTACTACACGAGGTGAATATATTGGGATATCCATTAAGGGTTTTGGCCACGGGTAGGTTGACCATGGTATCATGGGGTAGTTTGGGGGGCCTTGCCAGTTGCAATTTGGGGTCATTTTCCTTTGCTGGTAGGATAAAAAAGGACTAGGATATTTCATGTTAGGCCTTTGAGTCGACGGAATATTTGAGGTATCACTATGTGAAAAATCGCATTGGTCTCCTTTCAAGCAAAACCTTCTCCTTTGCCAGGGGCAACGTATTCTGTATTTAGGCATATTATCCCATGGCTTTTTTGGGTGCAGATGTTGTGGGTGTTTAAAATCACAGTTTTGCTTCTTAATACACCAGCCCCGCCGCGAGAGAAAAGGGCAAGGAATAGTGCTTTTAGGAATCTGCTCATTAGACGGCTGTGTTTGCAATCTTGAAATAGGTATTCTATTTCTATGTGCATTAATAATTCCTTGTTGTTTACTCGGGGATGCGTCTTTGGTGTATGCCAATAAGGGGCTCGTTAATTGATCTACAATTACAGTGGCGTTTGTCAAATTATCATGTTGATCTTCACCATTGGAAGAACGTAACCCCCGGAAATAAAACCCTAGGGAGCCACCTTAACTGATTCTCATATATTCATAATAGTAGGTAACTCGTTGGTAGAACCAAATGAATCATCCATTTTATTGAATACATTACTATCTTGGCTAGAGTCTTTGTTCTTGGAGTTGTTAGGAATTTCATTAGATACATTAATTAATCCACAACCTTTGTTCGCATGCAAGGTCGTTTTGGGCTCCACCGCGCTCAAGGGATAATAATTTTGTCTTAATGTATTGAATTTCCTCATTGAGTTTGCAGATTACTTCGTCTTTTTTATTTATAATGGCCTCCATGTCCTTCTGTTTAGCGCGAAGTGAGTTAATATCGTCAGACTTAGACTCTTGTTGGGAAATTGAAGCAAATAAATGGGACTCTAAAATCGTCATATCGAGTTTTACACCCTCGAGTTCAGCGACTATATTACTGTTAACACAAGTATAAGGACATGTGCATACCTTAGATACCGAAACACCGTTGCTTGCGCCAGCCGCTACGTCGCTCCCAACTGGATTCGCCAAACTCGCAAATTTCCGCTTCAAGTAGTGTTCATTATCAGTTTGAATAACAAGCTTTAACCATTAGATTTAAACTTTTTTAGTAATTATTTATTAAAGATTTAGTAACGTTTCGTCTTAACTAAAGAAATCTTCAGACTATACTAAATTAGTATGAAAGCTTTCTTATCTCTAAAATGAAATCCTCTTTCAACGTTCAAGGCAGTTCAATCCCTCTTCACTTATTCTGATCTCTCTCTTTTTTTATGTCTTGTCTGTATGTGTTGTCGTCTAATTTGTATGTTTTCGTTTTTGTTCCTCACTTCCCTTCATTACCCTTTCTTATCCTTACGTTTTGTGTACCTCATACTCTCTTGTAATTACCTCCACCAGGAGGTTATGTAATCATCTGGTTACCCGAGCTCCGCCAGGAGGTTATGTAATCATCTGGGTTTGTGTGTGTGTGTGTGTGTGTGTGTGTGTGTGCAATGACAATGACATTGTAATGCTGGATGATTCGTTGGCACCTGCCGTCTGCCAAAAAGATATTGATAGGTATAGCATTCAAATGTGCGGTATATAACATCCAGTTTACACTTGGTTTTATGCACATTTATCTAATAATTGCGTGTAATTATATGAACAGACAAATTTTAAAAGTATGGATTTCCACGGCGAAAAGTTTTTGCGGCATAATTTTTTCTAAGGCGCGCTAAGGGTGGTTATGAATCAGGAATTGAGGCCTGCCTTATTACATGCTAAATTTCAGGGAATATCTGGAATATTTGTGTATAAATATTGCTGATATACAGTGTGTCTAAAAACGCAAGCCAACTTTAGATGAATTTGTGGTTAATTAATTACTGCCGCCGTTTTGAAAAACAGCGATTTGCATACTGAGTTTGCAACTTCAGGAATGAGCAACGCTAATCGCATTATTAATTGCCGCTATAAGATGTCATCAATCCAGGTTCAGTTGCTTAAACGCAGTGTGAAACAACAAGTAATAAGTTAATTTTCTGTTATGCATAGCGTGAATAATTTCTGTTAGAGAATAGCGTGAATAATATTCAACCTAGATTTTGTTTATGTTCAAAGTATGGCATGATAATTCCATATCGAAACGTCGAAACTTATTTGCCGTCGTTATAGATCCGGGCAGTATAAAAAGTGCGGCGGCTTCAGTGGCTTATACACGTATACCGCCTTTCCCTAGGGCATAGTGCGCACATGAACCTGGCACAAACGTTTTCACCATAATCACCAAGATATATCTACATATTATTCCAAAAACAATAGCTGCATTGACACCATTGTCTTAACTATTTTACGGAATTTACGCCCGCGCCTGCGTTGTGGGGTAAAGAATAATATAAGACTCCTTTTAAGCTTCCGCTGGTTAAGAAAAGATGGGACATCTTCATAACCTGACAGCAAAAGATGCGACAACTTTCTGACAAAAGAGTTTATATACAGTAGTTAAAAATGCCCTGGTTATAGTGGGTTTCAGTAAGTGTTATACATGGGGAAACACCACTTTACATGCATTTAATATGCCTACATAGGTAGGCTGTCAAATTGGTAAATTGCGTGCATTTGCATGGGCGTTCCGAATACGAATCTCGTTCATACGCAGGTGCAATAGCGCGCTGAAGTTGGATTATCTTTTTTTGATGCACCATGTAGAGAACAATTGAGCAAATAGTTACGAGTCCGATAAAAATTGTTTGTCGAAATCTCATATATTCTCACCGCTGCGCCTAATATATATATATATATATATATATATATATATATATATATATATATATATATATATATATATATATATATATATATATATATATATATGTAGGGTGTATCAAAAAACCTGCTAACTAACCCATTGAAATACAATGTTTTTTAGAATTTGCAGGATTAACGTGTTACAAATATCTTAAAATAACATGTTTTTTCGCTATTAAGATATTTGTAACGCTAATTACATAGCTCTACTGTACTGTTTATCAGTAGTATTGACCACTCTTTTTAGTCTTTCAACGAAAAACAACCCGTTTATATATATATATATATATATATATATATATATATATATATATATATATATATATATATATACGTGTGTGTGTGTGT